GAACTATACATTTGTCATTAAACATTCTTTCGAATCTAGAATAGCAACCGAATTTTATGTTTTCTTTCGGTCATTTTATGGATAGTTAGCGTGCGGCTCCTTTGAGGTGTGGGTTGATTGGATCTTCGTGGTTCGGGATTTAGTTTGTGTTCAATTGGTTATGTTTGGTTTCCGGTTGTAGTGCTCTGATGTCGTTTTTGTTGACATCGGCTTTGTATTTCACAATCGTATCCCATCCTTGTATTCCGAAATCGAACTTCACCATGTTTAATATAATATTTTCAGTGAAAAAAAAAATTTGCCAAACAAACATAAATGCAAACGGGGAAAGAAACAATCAATCTATTATTCTCTATTTTAACTTATCATTCAATATTATAATAACTGTATTTAATTTTCGTATGCACTGACACAGAGATTGTTTGCATCAAGTGGATCACAAAAAAAAAATGGTTAAAAAAATAGTCAGACAACTCATGAGATCTGATTTAAGTTGATTGACATTTCTTTGGTAGAAACTGCAAAAGTGGTCGAATGGTTTTTGTTGTTATCATTTGGTGTCTTGGCTTAGTCCTACCTGAACAGTTCGATTTCCTTATATATTTTAACAATATTTCAAGAGGTTCAAATTCGAATTACGTGGTAGCTAAGAATATGTATGCACATTACAATTTCAAGTCCACTTATTGTAAGGAGAAGTAAATAAACAATAACAAAAGGAAATATCAGGTAGGTCATCAATTATATGTACTTATGTAGTGTTGTGGTCTTATGGTGTGCATATGTTTTTGACTGAGAGAGGCTTCCCACTAACTCACTCCATTAACTCATTAGTGGGATCTAAATTAATTAAGAATTTGTTTACAACTAATTACTCTGAATCTTATTCCAACTTTGGTACTTTGTTTTAATATTTCCAATCTTACTTTTGTTTCTTTACGTTTTCTTTGTCATGATCATATACAAAACCATATACTAAGTTAGAGAAATTTCAGATTTTGGATTGGGACTTGGCGCAAATTAATATGCGTGAAATTGGCATTATCATTTGTTGATTTATTCACAGTTTGGGATATATTTTTTTTGTAAGTTGAAAGTGTAGTTAGTTGTTTTCATCATTCCACTTCTTTACCACGTTTCTATTAAAATCTCTAGATTCTTCCTAGAACAAAAAAAAAAGAGTTAGAAAGTATATTACAAAACTGAAAAATGGGGAAAAAGGGGAGATTGATAGTGCTAGACATTTACTTTGTGAGGTGTTTCAATGATTGAAACAGAGGAGAAGTCACTTAGCTTTTTTAGTACTTCGCTGTGTACGACAGAGTTCCCACTCCAATTCTCTATAATTCTAACTAAGACATAATTTGTACGGAATTACCAGCTAAATAGTACAACTAACTAAACATTCCTTTTCTATTATGATGAATTTTTTTATATATCATTTTCTTTATAAGTAGATATTTAAGATTTGGTTTGATATATGTCAACAATATGTCACATTTATCAATCGAATTTGTAGATTTCAACGATTTTCTATCAGAGATGTTGAATCTTTATAAAACATGTTCTCATTTCTATCCTCGTTAACATTACAATGTACATGTATTGTGTATATATACACTAAACCAAAGGCTAAACCAAACCGGTTTACTATTTACAAGTAAACCGAATAAATACATCTGAAATTTTCTTTTTCGTTTTTTTGTAGTCCCACACACATAGCCATAATATAAAGGAATTGCCTTTGGTTAAGTAGGCTTTAACTAGTATAAAGTTGTAAGTAAATTGACTAGAATTCCAACCTCTAATAATCTAATATGTATAAATATGAAGTACAAAGTTCATAAATCAATTTATCCATTGATACGATATTATTTCTAAGAGCATCCTTATCAATGATTTTGTGTGAGTATCAAGCCATTAAAAGTGATTAAAAAACTGAGCCAGATAAATTTTGGGCTTGATTCGTCTCAGCCCAATAAGTCGGATGAGACGTCTCAAGGAGGACACGTGTCGGTTGTACATTGGACCGACGATTTTGTTGTTCGCCCAAAGACGCGAAGAGATCTCATTTGGTCGGGAATTTGTTTTCTCTCTAGTTTCTTCTCCTCTGCGGCGATTACGGCAATTGAGACGACGATTCGTCGTGATCTTCGTCATGCATGTCAATGCTCTTCTCTTCTTCTTTTCCTCTGTCTCACTATCTAGCAAATCGCGGGCTTAGATCCTCTCTCAAACTAGGGTTTGAGATCGCATATCACTATCGCATCTCTCGATCTTCTCGTCCTCGTCTTTCGTTTGCGTCACTGACGGCGCTTCTCAAGCGATCGGTTTATTCTCTCCGTCCTTTCAATTTGAATATCATCATTAATCACTCCAAACTTAAGAAGTTTT